ATCAAATGAATGTTTCCTTTTCTAGTGAGAACGGTGTGTAGAGATCATCCAGAATTAATGCGAGTTCCAGCTCCAGTTTTGGCATCCAGTCTTGAGCCTGAGTTCCTGGTCGTACCGACCAGCAGTTTCTCGTATGAGAGTCCTCCAACTTCGGCAAGTGACGACGGTGGCAAGGAGGAGACGAAAAGTTGTGAAATTTTATTGGTTAAGAAAAGTGTGACATCATCCTCTTCTGTCACTACCTCGTGTCCTAGTGTCACACATACTTCAAACGATTCCGATGCTGGTGATGGAAAGGAATGTAGAAATGATGGGTGTTGTACTAAAGACAAATCACAGCCTGCCAGTTCACCTTCGTTTGTTAAGAAGCATCATTCTGATGTAACAGCTGATGTTAATGGTGTTTCTGTGTCTTTAAGTCCTCCGAGAAAAATATTTACCGGGACAAGCCCGCTTAACTCGGACATCGGCACTCCGTACAATTCGAAGATGCCAAATCAGTCAAGCTCTCATTGTTCTACTCATAGTAGACGTGAACTTATCGCGACTAAAGTGAGTGATTCAGCTGAGACTGTTTCATTATCAGCGGCTGTATCTCATCTCGAGCATGCCCAGGGAAAAACTCCTGTTTTATCAACGGCTTGTCACGTGACTGATTCGCAGGCGCCAGCCATGGCTGTCATTTCGTTGCCGAATGATAACTCAGCGAATTCAGCTCAAAAACAGACGACGCCCACAACTAAGAAACCGATTATTTTGTCACGACGTTCCTCTCGAAGCAGCGAACAGAACATACCGCAAGGACTTGTAGTTCTTGTACCCACAATTGAGGACGCTAAGCGACTGATCGCTTCTTCAGGGGGGCCGTCGGATGGCCACACCCCTGTACTGGTACCACAACACATGTTGAACGAAATTCACTCTAAAAACACAGGAGAGCAGGTAGAAACAAAGCAGCCACTGAGTGGCAAACGAAAACATGATACGCTCTCCTCGCCTTGTTCCGTACCGTCAAAGCGACCAACTATTGATTCGGTCGTAATCGACTGATGCTCTTCGGTTTAGTTTATTTTGCACTAAAGTAAACTAATGCAGTATGGCAAAAGATAATAGCAACATTCGGTTAATGTTATTGAATTGTGGCTGATGATGGTGGTGATATAATTGGCTCCGGTCATTTGCTTCGACATGTTACTATGTATTGTCGTTTTTGATTGACTGACGAACGCTGAAGTCCAGCCCCCATGTGAGCCGTAATTGATCCAATTAATGTTGAATAGAATAGACCTTTTAAGCTTGTATGTTTGTTTTCTCAATGAAGTCTCATGGGGATTTACCCCCTTCTTCTTTTCATAAATTATGGGTACACAATGAGAGTAATATAACATGACCTACATTGGAAAAACCAAACGTACAAGCTAAAGAGGTCTATTTCCACGATTGAGTTTGTTGATGTATGGTCATAGACTTTTTAAGAGTGCGATTCGCACATGCTTTCCAATGTAGATCCTGCTTTACCCAAAAGGAGAAAAATTCTTGCGCCGGTCTTTTTTCTTCTTTTCCTTGGATTGCTGGCCACTTAGTTACAATGGATTTAGAACTTACAGCCTTTGTCGCAGGATCTTTATTTGATGGTTCAACGATACAGCCGCTTATCGTCGGTGGGGCTTGTGAAACGTCCTTAGTGGCGAGGAGCGATGAGAGGCGATTGTATTCGCAGGCTAGCGTGACGCAGACTAGCGTGACGCCGGCTAGCGTGACGCAGACTAGCAACTCAACAGTTGTTTTATTTACTATAATTACGTTCACCATCGAAGGTTGTTTAGACAGTAAATTAATCAGTTGTACAGTGTTCGTCGTGTAAAAAGAGCTTGTAAATAAGATTTATCACTAGTATTTATTAAAGTGTCACTAAGTGACCTTGAACGTTTTAATGTTACCAAATTGTAGCGCGCGTCATTGCTTGTCAATGTGAAATTTGCCGAAGTAAAAATTATACTTTGTCGGGCACACGTAAGGGAAGATTTCTCTAGGTGGTTACACCCTGATTGCAACAAGTTGTACCTCGTCAAAATTACCTAGAGGCCGGAGAAATATGTAGGAGCTTTTGATGATAACTGATCGACCCGAATTCTTAGTGGGGGAGTACGTTTTGCTGGTGGAAAGGCCAAATCCCTTGACTCATCTCCACTATTTTTGCGGGTCTACTGCCCTTTCTAAAAGTCGCGTCAAATCAACCTCCTTGCAACAAAGGTCTAACAGTTTTATATCTGGCGCTCCTAATCCTAGGCTCGATTTCTGCCGTTTCCCTGGTCAGTCCCCGAAGAGGGGAGGAAGAGTGCGGGCTTTTTTTTTCGGAACAGTGACAGGTAAACGCGCCTATGCCCATACTTATCCACAATCACTGGCCCCTAAAATGTACGAAGAGTACCCCCGTCATAGGGAAGTAACCCATGTGCCGTGTCTTCAACATTTGGCAATGTGATGTCCCCAAATGGGCCACTCTCAAGTAATCCGTCCAAAATAGTGACTAATCTAGTTATTCTCTTGCCTTCATGATACATTGGCCCCAAGAGAGGATACTCCTATTATCCTTATAAATGTTTAAGGTATAATCGCCGCTAGTTTGCAATGAGGTGTAAATGTTGTGTTCGCTGAAGATCTGTATGTACTTATACCGTATGTTCAGCGATATGAACGTGCCAGAAATTTTCGAGAGGTACACATAGTTTTCCGATAGCGCCAGTAAGGGACGAAGTGTGGGCTTAAGACGCTTATAACCTGCACCAAAGACGAAACTAAACTCTGGTTGAATTATGTGTACGACGCAGGCTAGGGTGTTTATGGCCTATTTTGTATCTTGAGCCTAACGAAGTGCTTATTTTTAGCTGGGTTCTAATTCAAACACTTTTAGCGCCCTTTCCTTTGCATGATACGTTATTCCCTGTCGGCAGATCTCCCATAATACACCTTGCTTGTCTTCCTGCCGTCAACCCTTTCCCCCCGCCCCTCCACTAGCCCAAAAGAAAGAAAGAAAGAAAGAAAAAATAAAAGAATGAAAACTGCACAAGCTTTGTTTTTAGTTTCTCTCGTAAGTCCGTTACACCAGGGAGAAATCAGAGGATCTGAATGAGGGTTACCGTTAGCAGTAAAATAACCTGAAATCAGGCCCAATTTTAGCGGTTCTCATACATTCTCTCTAACGGCTAACGCCGGAATGTAATTTTCAAAGCGAAACGAAAATAGAGCCTGATCTCAGGTTAGCACTAAAACGGCCAAAAATCTAGCCGTTAGGCGTAAAAATTGAAAAAAAATATCCGTTAGCGAAAAAAAAAAATGTTAACTGTTTATAGCCGTATTAATGTAGCCTACCACGCGGGCGTTTTTAGGGGAGGTCGTCTTTCGTCCCTAGCCCCTGGTCCCTAGTTGTGGGGAGGGAAGAAATACGAGCTTCCCTAAAAAAGCCCGGCAGCACTAAAACATGGAATCCGGAATCCGGAAACGGAAACGGAATCACGGAAACGGAAACGGAAACGGAATACGGAATCTGTGAAAGAAGGTTCCAAGCGATCGATTTGAAAAAAATAATATTAGCAATGACAATGAAATAAATAAACAGATAAAAAAAAGGCAGAAATGAATAAATTAGCTGAGTACAGGAGAGGAGACTGCTGTGTCACTAGAGGAGTCGATTCCACTGAAAAGA